CGCCTCGGCAGCAGTCGTGGGGCTAGGCGGGGGCTGGGGGGCGCGGGGTGGCCTCATCCTGCAGCCACCGAGGAGGTGCCAGGCGCTGGCAGCGTGAGGGGACTTCCAGGCATTCATTACTGCTCTCATTGTGCGCGCTCGGCACAACTTCCAAGGAAATTAAAATCACAACGTGCAGCTAATGAATTATTAGCAAAGGGACGAGTCCCTTTCGCCTCACTGCACGCCTGACCGCCTGCCTGCCCCCCTGCCTGCGCTCGCTGCCCGCTCTGCCCGCCCGGGATGGGGTGAGCTCTGCGAGAGGGCTGGGACGGGGGCAGAGCATCCCGGCAATGCCGGGTTTGGTGCCCGAGGGCTGGGCCGGTTCCTGGGAGCAGCGGCTGCAGAACAGGGGGCTCACCCTCCGGCGGGGGGCGTCGTGGGGGGTCCTGCCCGTCCCTGCGGGCAGCAGCACAGTGCAGACGCTGACGGGCAGACACGAGCCTCCCTCCGCCCTGGCCCGCGTTTAATTTTCTTTTTGGTTTGTCCGTGTGTCCGTGTCCTCCTGTCTGTCTGTACTCTGGAGCGGTGCGCGGCTCCTGTGTCTTGTCTGTGCCGTTTTAATGACCCAATGCTGTTTTATTCATGTTTCGGTCTGAACATCGTGGTCTTGGTGGCATCCCAGCCCCTCCATCCCTCCCGCTGCCCCCTGCCCCATCCATCTCCTGCCACCACCAGCCCCGTGCCTGGAAGCGGGGACACCGCTGCCATCGCAGGGGGATAAACCCTGCACCCACCAACCCTCCGGTTATATCCCATTGAGCGATGACCCTGCGCCCAGCTAGGCTCAGCTATCACTTCTAGCTTAAACCCTCCTCCCCGTCCCCAAATCTTAGCACCCCACCTCTGCCCCATAGCAGCGGGGCCGCCCCGGGGCCGGCCCTGACCCCGCTCTGCTCTCCCCCCGTGCAGATCCCGAGAGGACGAGCACCCACATGATCTCGGCGGACGATGCCGAGTACCCGCGGGAATACCGGACCTTGGGCAACGGCACCCGGCGCTTCTCCAACGTAGGGCTGGTGCACACCTCGGAGCGCCGGCACACCGTCATCGCCGCCCAGAGCCTGGAGGCCCTCACTGGCCTCCAGAAATCGGAGATGGAGCGCAAGCGGGACGCCTTCATGGACCACCTGAAGAACAAGTACCCGCAGCATGCGCTGGCGCTCCGGGGGCAGCAGGAACGCATGCGGGACCAGGTAAGGGGCGTCTTCTCGGGGTGGGGGAGGGACGGGGACCCCATCTCACCCTTTGGGGCTGTCTGGAGGAGAAGAGGCTCACCGGGGGCTTGGATGGTGCATGAAATGGGTGGCCGCTTGCAGCAGCCCTGGGGGGGAGCATCCCCCAGCCCCAGGGGGGAGCAGCCCCATCTCTCCCCAGGGCTGGGGCGGTCCCAGGTGGATTTACCCTGCCATATGGGTGGATTCGATCCCGCTGGCTGTCGGCAGCCATGGGGAGGAGAGGGATGTTTCTCCATGCAGAGGGGTGGGTGTGATGGCCATGAGGGGCAGCTGGCACCTGGATTCAACCCGCAGAGGGGTGACGCTCAACCCAGGTCTCAGCAGGTTTCAGCTGGGCTGCAAACCCTGACCTCTCCGGGGAAGGGGCAGCCTGACCTGTGGGCTGGTGTCTCTGCAAACCCTGCTGCGTGCCTGGCACTGCGCGGCCCTGCAAGCCTTGTCTGAGCTCCCCACGTCTCTGCAGCCCCCCAGCTCTGAAGCAGTTGCTCGCTGCCACAGCTTGCATGGTACAAAAGGCCTAAATAAATAGTTTGCCCAGGCAAAGCTTCGCCCCGGCCCTCGCCCCCAGCCTGGCCGCAGCTCTGCGGCACGTCCCCGTGCCAGCCCGCGGTGCCCTGGCACAGCCTGTCCCCAGGTGTCTGTGCAGTAGTGCTGGGGGTGAGGATTTAGCATTAATCAATGTTTGGGCAGGCTGTTGCTTTGAGCACAGGCTTAAATCCCAGCCTGGCCACCGAGCCCCAGTGCTCTCCTCTGTGTTACAGATCCCCCCCAGTTGAGGACGTTGGCGCAAAACTGCGGCCAGCCCTGACCTGAGCGGCACAAGCGCCGGGACGGGGATGGTCTCTGAGCCAGGGGGGTTCAGTGCAGCTCCTGGGGCCGATATCTCCCCCCGGCTGCCCGGCAAGGTGCCAGGGAGGCTGGTGAGCTCGGGGCACTGCGGGGCAGGACAAGCAGAGGCAGCGAGGGGCCACGGCTCTGCCCCAGCATGTTCTGCTGTGTGGCACGGGACGCCGACGGGCAAGGGGCGCCCAGGGTTTGGTACCCACGTTCACGTGGGGATGTCCCTTGGTTGCCTCTCCCCCGGGGACTCAATTCTCCCCCAGGGACCAGCCGGTCCTCGGAGCAGGACAGCGGGTGACGCATCTGGGCACCCTTGCTGAAAGCAGCAGAGTCCAAGGGCTGAACGGTCCCTGGGGACAATATCCATTCCTAGTGCCTGGGGGTGCCCCCCGGGCCAGGCAGCACCCCAGGGTGCTGGGAGCCCAGACCGCTCCTCCTCCAGGTACCAGTGATGCCCCAGTGATGCTGTCGCGGCAGCAATAAATCCCCACCTAAACGGGCACTTTTATAAAAAGGCACAGGGGAGGGTGAGCGCAGAGCAGCTGGAGGAAGTGCCTGGAAAGAAATCTTATATCATCTCCAACTAGACGCCTCCCCGAGGGACGGAGGCGACGGTTCCCAGACCTAGCGCGGCGGAAAGAAATCCAGCTTTGTAAGGAAAACTGGCGGGGCCCCCGCGTGCCGCCC